CTCACTCTGATCCAGGTTCAAGAAAAAGAGTATATCTACAAAGACAGAGTTTACATCCATAAGCTTGAATGATCTCTCACAATGACAAAAGCATCTGAATAATTCTACTAAAATCCCAGTCAAAATTTTCTTCTGAGCTGAACTTGACTACTAAGACATCATGGATACATACTTGACAACAATGCAAAATGTACCTCTGTCAAGAAATGACAGCCATGAAAATCTATACTGAATGAATACAGAAATGATTTGCCATTGCCTTCTTTTGAATTTTTTGAAACTTCACAATCCAGCCAACTACTACATTGATATTTCTATTTTTTTTCCTGTACAATCCTTCTCTGTTTCTCAAGATAAACCCAAACTGAATTCCAATTTCCTGTATAATGGTGTTTTTCAAACTTGGCAACTTTAAAATGTATGGATTCAACTCCCAGCATATTGGCTGAGGAATTCTGGGAGTTGAAGTCCACACATCTTAAAAAATGCTAAGTTTGGAAAACACTGCTATATAACATCAATGTCAAGACTTTCCAAGAGAATTATTTCCAGGTCTCTTCCCTAAACGTAGGTTGTTGCAAAGATATTGACAATGTTTGCATAATATTTTTGGTTCCCCAGAACTCATTGTTTAGATAGCAACTTCTCAAGCACGGCATTTTTCCCTGATTTTCTTACAGACCACCACAACTACAGCATCACGCTGATAGAACAAAGAAAATGAATAAATAACACGATAAGAATCTCAATCATAAACGATAAAGTAGATGAAAATACTTTATAAACTAATATATTCAGTTATGGAAAAGGATTACATTAATTTACGAAATCAGTTGGTTTCATGATTCACTTGCCTAATTTGTGGACTAGGCTCCTGACATCACCACTACAAATTTAAAAATAAAACTAGTACCTCCCTTTTTCATGGGCCAGGCCTCTTTGTTCATATATGCCTAGAAGCCTCTAGAGCCGTGATGGCGAACCTATGGCACTTGTGCCACAGGTGGCACATGGAGCCATATTGGTGGGCATGCCCTAGCATTGCCCTAGCTCAGCTCCAGCATGCATGTGCGTGCTGGCCAGCTGATTTTTGGGCCTTTTGGGCCCACCGGAAGTCAGAAAACGGGTGTTTCCGTCCTCCAGAGGGACTCCGGTGGGGTGGAGAAGGCTGTTTTCACCCTCCCCAGGCTCCTAGAAAGCCTCTAGAGCCTGGGCAGGGCAAAAAACAGGCCTACCGTGCCCACCGTGCCATCACATGCCAAACGCGGGAGGAGCATGGGGGAGTCACACACGCATGCGCGAGGGAGCAGGGCACATAGAATTATGGGTGTGGGCACATGCGCGCGCAACTACCCTGCACTCCCCCAGCTTTTGGCATGCAATGGCAAAACGGTTAGCGATCACTGCTCTAGAGCCCTGCCTATTTTAATTTGGCTGAATGTATGTATGAAAGTCATTAAAGCTGCACACAAAACAGTGAGTGTGATCTCAAAAAGTTGTTGCCGGTGCCGCTGAAACTTGCTGGCTCCTGTCACCATTTCATTTAGCTGCCATCCCTCCATTCCAATTTGTGCCAAGATTCAGATACTAGTATACCCCTCCTTTGTGATGTTTGACAATATATATTTAATCTGCATTACAGTAAAAACTGAAGGAGCATCTGACGAAGCTGCATACAACTTAACTCCAAGCAGAAAGTTACTTAAGATTCTCCAAAATTCCTCACATTCTGTATTAAAGCCTAAGTGACAACTTGACAATTGGACAATTATGAACAATTTAGCAGACTCCTTGACCTGTCTTACAGGTGCTTCATTAACAAGGATAGAAGTTTCAAAATCTTCAAAGTATTTGAGGTTTTTTTAAAAAAAAGAACAAGTCTTTTTGCTTTCTGGAAACATTAACATATCATAACACAAAGCTCCCTGATATACCCAGAAATTAACTTAGGTTTTTTTTACAAAATATATATAACATGACAATGCCAACTAAGCTCATCCATTCAATAAAAAGCAATCAACATTTGTTTCTACGAGCTTCTGATTCTCATCAGCCACATCTCAAGAGGGAATTTCAATCTTTTTTTAAACATTAATTGCATTAAATCAGCACGGGATTTTATTCTCTAAAACTGTTATTCTGCAATTTTGTTCTGCCACCCCTTCCCCCTAAACCAATAATTAATCCTAACGTTAGGGTTAAATGTAAAATGTTTTAAAGTAAAAGTCTGGTTGCCATTAAGTAGATAATAGTTTGTATCTGAATTCCAACTGAGCTTGGGCTGTGGCTTGATCTTGTGGAAACAACAGCACAGAAGCTGTGTAACCATTCCTGTTTTACTTTACCAGAAGGAATCTGCAGGTGAATTGACAATCATCCAGTCATAAACAAAATCCTAGTAAACAGGTGTTTTTAAACTATGATAGGCCAAAGCATGACTCTCTACAGAGAAATGCAATATTGAAAGGAAAAAGCATTAACCCTTGAATGACTACAATTTGAATGACTACAATAATTTCCTTTTTAAAAAGGATTATGCAATTACACTCATACACAACAGTCACTCAGAGCAGCGAGAGGTCCTTTTTAAATAAACTTATAAAGTACTGTCAACTGGTGCAGTTTTGAAGATTTGTGGGTTAAGGACTGGAGTTGTTCTGCTGTCAGTTCTTACAGACTATCGTTCAAAAGAATTTGTCTCACTAATTTTACTATAAATTGGATTGCAACTACTCCATTTCTTTCTTTTCTTTTCTCTTCTATTGTAAGGCAGCCATGAATAGCAGGAAAAGATGTTTCGTGAGCATCAAAGAACAGTGTTCTAAAACAAACTCAACAGTTTGACCTTTCTGGTTTGGTGTCAGAAAGCTACCAAAAGCAAATGAAAGTTTAGAAGGCAGAATCTGAAACACCCAAAAGCTGGTTTACGACCATGTGTGTGAACGTAGTAAGCAAAAGAAAAAACTAAACATCCCTCCATTTGTTTTTGTTTTTTTTTAAAAAAAACAAAAATCCTGAATCAGATAAAATTGCATGGCTTATTTAGTAACTTTCAGAATATTAACTATTATTTAGTAACTTTCAGAATATTAACCTGAGGTTAAACAAATCTGATCTCAAGAAATTAAAAATTATCACGTTATCTTATAAAAATATGACATGCTCTTAATTTCAAAAAAGATGCACTGTACAACGTTTTGATTCAGAGGAATAAAATGATCTCCTTTAGCTCAATATTTTACTGTATGTCTAGAGGGATGCAGGTTTGTTTGTTTTTTACTTGAAACCACAATGGTAGGGCACTGAGAGTGAACATGCAATAAAATGCCATAATGGAAATTAGGCTGTATCCAAGGCAGAGCTTTTCCAATCACAAAATTACTCTGGAGCACCAAGTTTCTAAAATAAGTGTTTATCATCCACGACACCATTCCAGTGCAAATCTACCGAGATTTAAGATCTTCCCCTAAAACACTAACACAGGAATTACAAAGGAGTACATAAATACCGTACGTCTTTATTTATATAATTATCTACTTGGTCCATTAGGTGGCTACAGAATCGCTTGGCAGGGGCGGGGCGTCGGTTGCTTTTCCTGGGTTGCTTTTCTCTTTCTTTTCGCCCATATAATTAAAATTGGGGAGGGAGAAGAGGAGAAAAGAGAGAGAACTATCTGTGATCTGAGAGCCTTCAGAAGCTGTTATTTATTTATTTATTTATTTTTATAAACAGCTACCGGGTCTAATTAAACCTTGGGAGGAGGGGAGAGGAGGGGGGGAAGAGGAGGTAGGCAGGCAAAATTAATACCGTTTGCCTAAAAGTAAATCCTCCCAGTGCAATCGGATCTCAGCTGCTGCTTGGCCCTCGCCCACTGTAGGAGCTTGGCGAGAGCCACGGTGATCCTGTACCTTTAAGACCGCGGTTGGTTCACCCCGCCCTGGCTCCTGGCCAATCTAAAACCGAGCACAGGAGGCGCTTCCCTAAAGCTTACGCCAAGGTCCAATTCAGCCAGGGCTACCGCCTCAACTGACAGAGTCGCTCAAGGCGATAAATCAAGGCAAATGCACACTTTTTTTTTTTTTAAAGAGTCTATTTGAACAACGATCCGCTAGGAGGAAAGCTTCGTTATTCATTCTCCGCTCGACTCGACTCGCTGGACTTTCTTTTTTTTTTTTTTTCTTTTTGGCACCCACCGTCCGAGATTTGCAGGAGGCTTGGGAATTTGGAGGGGCTGGGAAACCTCTGGATGGAACTGGGAAGGAAGCTGGGCGTGAGGGGGGGGTCTTTCGCCCCGACAGAAGAGACGGGGCGGTTTCTGAAAACTCTCGCCGCTTCTTTTTCTCTCTGCAAGCGAGAGGGAAGGGGGGTTTGTTGGTCCTATTCTGACCCTCAGGGGGGTTTTGTGTTTTTTTTTTTTTGTTGTTGTTGTTGTTGTTGTTGTTTTTTAGCAACGGTGTTTAAGACTGGAGTCCTGCGCAGAACTATTTGGCAAGAATACCTTCGAAAACAAATCCTGCCAAACCTGGCAAGAACCGAATAAGGACGGGAACTAAAGGACGGGAGGAGAAGGAAACTTAACTATCCGATCGAACTTCCCTCAGACTTCGGGAGCGAGCGCGCCCGCCCGCGCTAATCTGAATTTGTCAGCACGTTGGATTTTCCAACAGGAAGAAGGCCGGGATGGACACATAAAAGGGAGCGATCACCCGCGTTTTATTCTTCGCTTTCCTTCTCATCCTGGCTACCGCTGCCGATAGAGATCCCGGCGTAATCCAGATTCGCAGCCACTTAACTAAACCGACCGCTTTGCGGCTTCCACCATTTCTCAAGCTCCTTCCAACCCGGCCTTTCCATATCCAATGCACAGCTCTTTAACGCCTCCGCCTCCAAAACCGCTTCCCCCCACACACACACACACGCCCGCCCCACATCTCTACGATCACCCCGGCTTTCTTCCACTTCGATCATTTCACAAGAAAACGAACGAAAGCAAGACTTACTTGTTTTGTCATGGAGTCGATTAAACGGACGTAAAAATCCTGTTCGGTTCTTATCCCTGGAAGCCGTATTTGAGAAGACCGGGGGGGAGGGGGGAGGAAAAATAGGACAATTAAGCGAAAGAACGAAAGTCAAAAACTGAGTCAAAAACTGAGAAAGCTCTTTCCTTTTTTCTTTTTTCCCCCTGAACTTGCCAGTTACTTTGCGGTCCTGAAGTACGGGAGAAGGTCTTGAAAGTTGGAAACCCGTAATAATTAACTGGTATCCTCTCCATCATCTCAAAGCTAATCGCAAATATATTTATTCAGAGTCAATAAATGCTCAAAACAGATCCGTCCTGGGTTTGCTTTCTGTCGTCCTCTGCCCCCTGCCCCACCTCGTCCCAGGGTCTCTCATTTAATTGGAACGGAAACGAGGTGATCCCTTTGCCCAGACCACACTTAATGCACCCTAATCGATTGGGCAAAGGTTTGGCCCTGCTTTTCTTCCCAATTTGGGGGACGGGAGGAGGACAAGAAAGAAAAATTGTTATTCAGGTGAAGGGGACATTCTTCTTTAATTTGGATTTCCACCGAAGCAAAATATTGGGTCTGATAAATCTTGAAATCATTACGGGTCTATATAGGAGTTGTACTTCCTCCTTCTTTTTCCTTTTTTTTGGGGTGTGTGTGTGTGCTTAAGGTTGGGCGGCAACCTTTGGAGAGACATTTGAGAGGAACGGGCCGCTTGTCCGAGAAATTCTACTCTGGTTTTTAAAAGGCTATTCGGTCCTGTTGCTGCTGCTGTTTCTGTTTCTTAAAGACAACCGCGGGAGATATTTTGCTGTCCCTTGGCTAATGCACCCCGAGCCTGAACCCAGTGTGGGCAAGCCTCCCCTCGCCTTTCCGTTCCCTTCCAGGGGAAAACAGACGTACTGAACCAAGGAATTCCCTGGAGATTTAAAGCCCGCCCGGAGCTGTCAAGCACAGGCAGAACAAGGCTCACCGTTGCTGTAGAGGAGCTGCAGACGGTAATGGATCCCATTGTTGGTCTTTTCGCTGTTGGCTTCCTGAAGCGAAAGGACACACAAGTGTTAGAAGCAGGACCAACAACCAGAGCAGCAAGGCGCTCCTAAAGAGCCCGAAATCCCGATTTCGTCGCAAGTTTCTACTTATTTCTTTACTGCCTCCCCCCATCCTCCAACCCAATGTCCAAATCGGGACATTACTCAAAGGGGTAGAGTTCAACCCAATCTGTTCTGGGTATGGATAAAAGGCCAAGAACAGATTGGAAAAGCGCCGGGAGGGAAACATTTAATAGACACTAGCCGGAGGTAAAAAAAGGACAAAAGTTGGTAGACTGCTGGGCGGGAGTCGGCCAAGCGTGAGTTAGAAAGGATCCCGCAGAGGCCGGGGTCTCTTCTCTAGGATGGTCCCGGGCAGAAACAAGAGAGCTCTGGAGTACAGGGCAATCTTTTATTTGATGACACGCGCGCGCAGAGCGCCCGTTCACACGTACACTTACTTTCTCCTTCTCCACGAAGCCCACGAAGGCGGTGCGCTCGATCTCCACGGGCTGCCCCTGCCGGTCGTACAAAGCCAGCACGAAGTGGAAGAAGTTCGATTTCCGCAAGTTGGAAGGCGGCTGCTTCTCGAAATGAGCCCGGGCCAGGCCTACCCCGCTGCGGCCAAAGAGACCGAGTTAGGCGCGCTTAGTCCCAGCCCTGCTCCCCTAAACCAAGAAACTTCCCATTAAGCAAAGCCCAGCCGAGTCCAGGCCTTTCCTTAGCATCAAGCGAGCTGCTCGGTCCAATAATTGGGGTCCTAGTCAGGTCCCCAAGCTCGGGGCAATTTCATGCCGCCTGCTCCCCAAGTTCTAAGGAAGAAATGAAGCAGGTGATTCTTCCACCACGGGGGAGAAACGGAGCCATTCAGCCCAGTGGCTGCTCCGCAGGAACCCCCGGCCTCGGCAACCACGAAGTAACCGCTGCCTTTCCAAACCGCGAAAATTGTCCCTGGAAAAATCAACCCAGGAGGAAGAGGCCTTTGGCTCTCTTCTCTTTAGATTTTTTTCCCCCCCGACCCGTTCACTGCAGTCTGAATTAGCGAGCCAAAATTGCCGGCTGCTCGAAGTGCCCCGGGGGATGCTCCCGCTGCCTACCCAAGGCCACGCTTTCGCAGGTCGGGTCAGTGCGGCCTCAGCTGTCATTAACTCCGCCTGATGCCCGAAGCGCTACTCTCGTTCGCTGGAAGACTCTCTCGGATTCCAGCCCCGCTCTCGCTCAGGCTGGAAACATCCCTACAAAACTTTTCCATAATTTTACATTGGCTTTGTCCCCGCATCACTTTCCCTTCCCGAGCAGAGGAGACGGGGAAGAAGGGATCCAGCCGAGCAGGACAGATGTCTTCGCGACCTGTCAAGGTTCCCAGCCGCCCGGTTTAAACTGAGGCCCAGGCTTCAACTCCAGAAAAAGCACCTTTGGGAACCCCAGAAAACGGGAAATTGGGAGTAAGCACCGTGAGAAGGACAGTCGAACTTAGTTCCCGGGAGCTCTGGACTGGAAGTAGCTGGAAAGTTGAAAAGGTCCCGGGCGTACCTTTCTCGAAAGGAATCGCTGGAAGGAAGGGTCGGATTCTTGTTGACGAAGAAAAATATATAGACTATCCACAAACAAGCAAAGTTGTTGTGAAAGTGACAGGACACATTGCCAGCGACATTTGTAGGACGCAACTTAAAAAGAAGGGAGGCTTTCGGAGAAGAAAGAGAGAGAGAGACAGAGAGATGGGGAACAGCAAGGAGTAAATGTACAGTCTAATTTTGCTTTTTAATGTGAGTATCGGAAGCGTCAACGTATTTGGGGGCGATTCCTGAATGTAAAGCTCCATGGTCTTTGAGATGGGAAAGAACGAGAAAGAAAGAGAGAAAGAAAGAGAGGAAAGAAAGAGTGAGAGAGTGACAGAGAGAAAGAAAGAAAGAAAGAAAGAAAGAAAGAAAGAAAGAAAGAAAGAAAGAAAGAAAGAAAGAAAGAAAGAAAGAAAGAAAGAAAGAAAGAAAGAAAGAAAGAAAGAAAACTGTTTTAGCGGCTACTCGATTAAAAAGATTAAAAAGTCATTTGGGGTCAAGGTATCGCCGGGAGGCACTGCCCACTAGCTACAGACCTGAGGCTGACTGGACCGCTGGATTTTCGAGTCAGGGAAGGAAGGAGAAGGGAGGGATGCTGCCGCGAGCTCTACCTACCTCTGCGCCGCGGTGTTTGCATCCAGGACGCCGGCTCCCTGCATCCATGTCCTGACCGCGTTCATGCCGGCGCCCAGGGGCTCTTCCTTCATGCTGCTCCCACTCCTCTGAATGCTTTCCTGAATCCCAAACATGAATTAAGGCCAACCAAAACCTTCCTTTCTTCTTGAAGAAAAAAAAAAGTAGGAAAAGCAAGGAAAAACAAAAATGCAAAAGAAAAAGAAAAAAAAAACCCCAGCCACAACGCAGTATGTTGACAAGAAGAAAAAGCGCGGAGCGGGTCGGGGTTTTCGTTTCACTCCCCCCCTCTTGCTTTTTTCTCTTTCTTTCTTTCTTTGCTTTCTTTCTTTCTCTGGAACCGCTGCTGAATCAAAGCAAATCAGAGAAAATCAAACACAGACATTGAAGGGATTGGGGGGAGAGAGAGAGAGAGAGAGAGAGAAGAGGGGGGGGGGGAATCCAAAGGGTTACAAAAATCTCCCTCCGGGGCCGGCTTGCGGATGCTCCAAGCGGGCGCCTGACGAGCTTGTTCTTTGGAGGGTGGGCGCGAGACACCGGCTGGCCTCTTCCTCCTCCTCCTCCTCCTCTTCCTCCTCCTCCTCCTCCTCTTTTTCTTTAACAAAATCAGAATATGGTTTTTCTTCTTGGCTGGCTGGCCGGGATCGCGCAAGAAGTGGCAGGACGTTGCCGGCGGCGTCCCTTCCGTGCTGAAGTCCCCCCCTCTTTCGGATCGCCGAAGAAAGAAGGCAGTTTAAGAAACAATAGGTTCAACCGGCGCTGCTGCGGCGGCGGCGGCGGCGGCTGTAGCGGCGGCTGTAGCGGCGGCGGCGCCCTTGGCTACACCAAGTGTCATTTTCCAGTGACAAGAAAACAGCAACTTTGCGATCCGTCCTCGGCGAGTCTCCTTCTCTTGCGGGGCTTTCCCTCCGGCCAAAGACTGGCGCTCGTCCTTTCTCTCTCTCTCTCTCTCTCTCTGTGGCTTCTTCGCCTCCCTCTCCTGCCTTCCTCCAACAGCGCAGGAAGCTTCGCTTGGCTGCTGGGGAGCCCGAAAAAGAGAGAGAGAGAGAGAGAGACGGGCAGAGGAAGACACGCGGCGCTCCTACGCCGGGAAAGGTAAGCTCACACCCCCCCCCGGGTGGATTGAGATCCTCTTGGCTTCCTCCCTCCCTCCCCGCTCCCTCCTCCCCGCTTCAATCCGAGCGCTTCGCAGGCTTTCTCAATGGAATCTACTTCGACTTCTCCCCTCAGCTAAAACACACGAGCGCACCAGCCCCACTGGGCTGAGGGGAGGGGCGGCGCCCTGCGGGCCGGAGCCCGCCCCTGCCCTCATTTGCATAGCGTCATAACTTCCTCGGCCGCTCCACGCCCACCAATCGCCGGAGAGGAAAGCCGAGCTGCTGCCGCCGCTGGCCCCAGGGACACGCCCCCCTCATTAGCATGCTCCGCCCGCTCCGCCCTCTTTTCGCCGGGGAGGGAAAAAAAAAAAAAAAAACCCGGAGAAAGTTGCGCGGTGCGCTCCGCCAGCCTGCAGGAGACTAACGGCAGGCGGGAGGTTGGGCAGGGGATCGCGCGGGCAGGGAGGGCAGCAATGCGGGGCCGGCCGGGATCAGATCGAGCAGGACTTCGGCCCACGTGCTGGGAAAGGGAGCCGCCTTTCGGGCGGTTCTACTTCTTCCTAGTAGGAAAGCAAAGCGAAGAAAGGGAAGGGGGGAAAAAAGTTTTACGCGGCAGTTGAGGATCGGGCGCTTCGGGTTCCGCGATCCAGAGCCGCATCGAAGTTCCGAGGCCGGAAAGAATCGCAAGAGAAAGGCGGGAGTGGGGAGGTGGGGGACAGTCGTTGGGGCGCCCGGGTGGGTGGACACGAGTGTCCCCGAGGCTCCGGAGAGTCGGGGGGTGGGGTTGTTCCCCGCGTGGGAAATCCGATCTGCACGCGCCCTCCAAGACAGGCTCATCCGAATGTGTAAAGACGGCTCAGAATAACAGCAACGGTGGCGATAATAATAATAATCCCAACGAAACACAAAGCCTTTAATTAATGAAAGCGATTCAAGTCGCGCAGCTGTCACCCACAAGGCCAGATTTCTTTTGCAGCGGCAGCGAGGCAACCTGTCCTTCCTTCCTTCCTGCAAGACGGGTGATCTGAACCCGTTTTTCCTGATCCGGAGATGAATATACTTTATTTTTAATTCGCCATCCGAAAGAAGTCGGAAAGCACAGATGGGCAACCCCCTCGACGTACATATATACCTCTTAGGGGTGTGAACTTGTTTAAAACGCCGGGTTGTTTTGTTGGTTAAAGGAAACACAACCTCAGCTCGGTACTTCGGAGTTGTTGCCTCATGGATCTTGCAATGCTTTTGATTTTGAAAAAAATAATAGCGCTCTCCTCCTTCTTTCTCAACCCACGCGATGTCCAATCTCCATGCAGAAAGTGGCTTTCTGACATGGAATAGGTCTTTGTCTGAAAGAGATTTCAGAAGTAATAATACGAACCATAATAGTAAGTTAAAGAAATGGCAGCTGGGACTTCACATTGGTTTGAACAGAGAATAATAATAGTGTGCTCTCCATCCTCTTTAGCAATAACAGAGGGCTATGTGATTACTCTAAAAATGGGTCTTTTTTCAGTCCTATGCCGAATTTGTTCCTTTTTTCTACTGTAGCAAGCTCAGAATTGCGCGACTGCCGCGGGGAGAGCTCTTCCCGCCAGAAAAGTATTTCCCCTCGGAAAAAATCGATTTTCTGACCAGGGGATCGTCCTTCTGTTTTCCCTAGGCGAAACGGTCGAGTTGAAAGATAGTAATGAGAGGGGCTGAACACTCTACGCCCTGTTCTTGCTTGCTTGCAAAAACGCGGGAAGAAAAACATTAAAATCAACCCACTCCACAATGAATTGATTTGCGAAATTCTTTGCCAGAGTCCCTTTCTTTGCCGCAAACTCAATCGCGTCCCGTAGGAACTGTCGCGCACCCTCCCACACGCCGCAAAAACGTCCCGCGGGGCGCATTCGCGTCCTGCCACTTGGAGTCTGAGCCCCCGTCACGCCACTTCACTTCGGGATCTCGCTTGCCAAAACCAGAATCTCTCGCGCCTTTTTTTGTTGCCGGTTACTTGTCGTGGGATCTTATCCCTCCGCCCCGACACACAAAACTTTCTTTTTCTTTGTGTTTCCTTAAAGAGAAAGAGCGAAAAAGGGCTATCAAAGCGGGGTCCCCTGCTTTTGGCCCGTGTAGTCACCCCCCTCAACAAGCTTTTAAATTTCGTCGGATAAATCAAAGTAAATCCAGAAATCGGCAGGAAACTGCTGTCAGAACTGTTTTCTTCTCCTTCCGAGTAAACCCTATTAGGATTCCGTTGTTATAAGCCCTTTAAAAAAACTAGCCGGATAGATGCACTTCAGACTTATAGGATCGGCAACGTGTATTTGTTTTTAACTCCGATCCAGTAATCAGAAGCTGGCGCAAAATGGCACCCTCTTAATTTTAAGTGGGTGAATTGAACGGAGCTCACAGATGCTCCATAAAACCTGGAGAAATTAGAACCCCTTCTTATTTCTCCAAGTTTTATTAATTTTCAATTATATTATTTAATGTGGGAGGAGAAACATGGTTGCCACCGGTAGCCAGATATCCAAGCCGTCAGAAATCTTCTGCAATCTATTCTGGATCAGTAGAACCAAATCTGCTTTTGCTCTGTTAATTCTAGTCGCAGAGGAAAATCGGCGCTGCGCGAGAAGAAACTATAACAACTTAATTTGGGACAGTTTATATTCTCTATTCTGGGGGTGTAATGCTATAAATCTCTACGTGGATTGCATCTGCAACGTTTATGTTTAATGCCGAAAGAAAAAGGTGATCAAGGGAGAAGCACTAGCTGCACTGTCCTGTAACTTTAAAAGAAAGTTAACTGAGATTTTATTTCCGTTTTAAAGTAGATTTTCTTGAATCTAAACTGTTTACAAAGCAGATAAAGAACCATTCATACAGATACGATTTTGCTGATTTCAAGGGGACTGTGTCAACTATGAGTACTGTTCAACATGTGCTTCTGTTTGCGTATATATTTAAGAAGGTAATGTCCACATAGCTTTACATTTAAAATCTGGTAAGTTAAAGATCTCTAAACAGAAGCCTTCAGATTCATTCTTGTCATTTTGCCTATAAGAGATGAAAGTCTGTAAATGTCAGCAAAAGATCTGGAGAAGCAACACCAGTTGGGCACATTGGAGATCAAGGTTATCTATTAGATAAATACTTTGCTGATGTCATAGCATGTATATGGATTGTATTTTATCCAGCAAATGTGTATGATCTCTTTTGCAAATTTTGAACATTTAGTATGCACTACCTAGTTCCCATAATAGCAGACAGTGATTAACCCCTTGGGTCTCTGCACATTCTCTAGTTAACTCAAATTAATCACAGCACATGGAGAGCTTATTTCTCCAATAGGGTAGCAGGGCTCAAATTTGCCTGTAAGAGCATATGTCAAGCTGTTAACAGATTGCATTTAGTTGAGCTGTACTTCTGATGATTTCACGGACACATTCATGTCCTTTTCTTGACAATGTTGTGTAAGTGGAGCATCACTGCCTTCTTACAGGCTGTTTCTGTCCCAGAGGTTCTTTCATTCAAATACTAACCAGATCCAACCTGTTCAACATTTCAAAATTTGTCAAGGTCATTCAGGTGCTGCTCTTAATCATTTTGGAACTGCATGATCATAGTTACTTGACTGGGAAGGGAAAGCACTCCAGGGTTATTTTAAGGCACTGATCCTGTCTCCTGCACAGTTGCTAGCAAAAAAACCAAAACAAAACCTTTCTACTTTCCCTTTGCAAATATTCCTCAAGTGCTTTCTGAATATTTGGAAAGTTGGCCGATATCATCCAATTGTTAAAGGTTTTTATTAGAAATACAATGATATTTCATTCCAGCCAGATGTTATTTGAACTGTCCAAATTGGGCATGTAATGGTAGTTTGTATTTGATTGTACCGATGTGGCCTTGCAGAAAATTCAACTGTCAAAAAATGCATTCCACGACATCTGTTAGGAAATAGAAGATTCTGAGAAATGTGTCCCTGCAGTTCATACGATATAAGACTTCATCTTTCTGCAGGGTGTAAATGTTGCAATGTAAGATTACTTCTGGTGGGCAGAACAGTTCTTTTTACTGCTGTTCTTTTTATTGAAGCTTCATCCCCATCCCCTATTGGCAGTGGTGGGATTCAAATAATTTAACAACCGGTTCTCTGCCCTAATGATTTCTTCCAACAACTAGTTCACCAAACTACTCAGAAAGTTAACAACCGGTTCTCCCAAAATAGTGCGAACTGGCTGAATCCCACCACTGCCTATTGGCCTATATCTAGGGTTCCCAGGGTTCCAAGAAAGGAAGCTTGAAAACTATAATAGTGGAAGCCACTGAATAATTATTCAAAGTCTTGCATGGGGAAAACAGCCCTGTGGGAGTATAGCAAATGTGATACTGACATGTAAAGACATTCTAAAATCTGGAAGCATTGGATGGAAAACATCTCTTGCCATACTTTAATTGAGATTTGTTCAGCATCAAGTTCCAATCAGTAGCTTTAAGGAAATAGTGGCTCTCATGCAGAGCTTGCCAAAATCAAAATGATAGGGAGTTCCAATGATCTTAAAGTATTTCCCTTACAAGTGAAAAAAAAAATCTGTTCAAACTGATCACCTGTATTTTACCTTAATTTTTCCTCTTCAAGCTCACTCAAAAATGCAATTTTTCTCATCTCGTAAGTGAAACTCTGGAACAGTTGGTAGGTTTTAATTATTTGAAAGTTTTTAGTCCAGCTCCACTCTTTAGATGTTATTTCTTGATTATTACTTTCAAGGCCATTTCTCTTGAAATGAGAGAGGCCAAAGCAAGCTTAGATGAACCCTGGATGAAATACATATTCCCACATGGATATCTAATGTACATACTGTATTGTTCATCCTCTTGCTACAGCCCCATGAAATCTTTCCCTCCCATCATATTTAATATTATCATTTTCAGCCTTAGTGTTTCAATTCTGAGCTACAGTCAACAATGGAAAGCAATTTGCATCTATCCCAATGGTTTATTTTCCCAGGGCTCCACAGATGCCCACAGAAGGAGCAAGCAACAGATAAGTGCAGCACTTGGATCAATACCA